AGCTTTTATTGTTCATTCACAACCTGCCAACATCTCGGGCTATAAGTTGAATGCTTTTGTCAGACAGAAAAAAAAAGAAAATAAAAAATAAAAACAGAAAAACAAAATAAAAACATGGAGCGGAACGATTTCCCATCGGAAACTTCCTATAAACAATATATAAATTTAAAAAAAAAAAAAAAATGCATTTTACAATTTCAAATTTCAAATTTATTTGCATTAATAAAGTAAAGGTAAAAGTATATATGAATGTTAAATGGATATCTGTCATCTGCAGTTATTGAGGTTATTAAAAATGAGTCGCTATACAAAAGAACAACGTTGTGATTGTTAAACACATTACAAATTTGGATAATTTTTTGCGGAGACTATTTGAAAAGTTTATTTAAAAACACTTTTTTTAACATCATGAGCGAGTAAGCTCATTTTCATTTGGATGATTTTGTTAATCGTCACATTTGAGGAAATGAAAATCCCCGAATTACTCAACGAACCCATAACTAGTTACTGTTTGGTGCGGATTATGGGCTGGAGGTGTAATTGGCCCATTCTTTTTTTAGATTAATTGGACGACTTGGACCTCGAAGAAATTTTATTTCAACAGGATGGAGCCACATGCCATACAGGAAAAGAAACCATCAATTTGTTAAGATAATTTTCCTGGTCGTGATATCTTACGACTTAACGCCATGAGATTTTTCCTTTGAGGTTTTGTAATGTCCAAGGTCTATACTAACAAACCACAAACTATTCCTGAACTAAAAACGCGTTATTTCTGAAATTGAGCCAGCACCACAGATGCGATCATTTGGCCGACATAGTATTCCATAATTATTCTCAACATGTCTACTTTATAAATCAATAAAATCAATAAAAAAACCGGAAAGTAAAGATATCGACAATGCTACAGAAAAATACTAATAAATAGAACAAGATGATACTGAGTGTCAGTGATAAGAAGGATAATACGATGAGTAGTGATATGTATGAAAATATTATGCAAGAATGTTTTAATGAGTCTCTGTCTCATCTTACCAAGAATGATAAGAAGCGTAATGACTTCGTCTCGAACATCCTAGTGTACAAGTTCGCAGAGGACGGATAGCGCATAAAAAGGTAGGAGAGACACATCCTTGTGTGTGAATCTGTCCCCAGTCCGTTTGAGGTAAAAGATGTAGATACGTTGAGCCCTCTAGGGCTGATTCACCCTATCATGGGGGAAAACTCGGCAGGGGGGACCTCAAAAGAGACTCCCCCGGTCGTCGACTTCGTCGATCTTGTCAACTTCATTGCGTTGGTGCGTTGAATTCGCTAATAATAAGGAGCTGGTAGAGAATATGTCTCAAGCGTTAGCAGGAAAAACTTATAATGATAAGCAAAGCAAAACAGTGACGATTTCGCCCCAGATCTCTGATTTCATAAGAATGTACATTAAATACCCTGCATGCGATACAATTTTTTTTTGAACAAGGACGAAGGTCCGTTTACAGTTAACGTAGAGTCTCAATCAAATAGCAGCATAAAAATCTGGCCAATATCAATGGGCAGCAAACTGAAAGCCAAACGTATAAGAAACGTAACCAAAGTTGACAGTAGAGGACGCAACAGAGTAACTATTACTTTTAACTCCGGAGACAGCGAAAATGCTTTTTTGAGGTCGTCCTTGATGTGCTCCAGGAATCTTTGAAAGCGTACATCCCATCCCACCTGATTAGCTGCAGGGGGATTGTCCGAAACATAGAAAGAGACTTCTAAGAGAAGGAAATTCTGAAAGAGATGAGGTGTGCGGATGGCATTAAAATTGCCAAAATAGAAAGAATTAATAGGAAGGTGACAAGCGAGGATGGCGGCTTCTCGTATGTCCCCACTAATTCCGTCATTGTTACGTTCGGCGGAAAGAGAATGCCCAAGTCTGTGTATATGTATTATAACAGCAGACCGATAGAGACGTACGTACCCAGGGTCATTCAATGTTTTGGATGCTTACGGTGCGGACATACCAAAGCCATTTGTAAAAGCCCATCTATAAGATGCCCAGCTTGCGCGAAAGATCATCCTCTCGATATGTGCCCTGACAGAGACGCTCCGGTTTGTCTTCATTGTGGAGGCAACCATTTAACCAACGAGCAGAACAAGAGATTGGCACATAGAACGTGCCCGGAATACCTGCGTCAGAAAGCTATTAAGTCGAATATGGTGAACTATCAATGCTTGTTCTTTGAGACTGATAAATTGTCGAGACAGAATAGCCAGATGAAGGCGCAATATAGAATAGCCTTTCCGGACACAATCAGTAGACAAGTCTCGTTGCCCAGTGAACGGCCGGCTTCTAACAAGAAGCCGTTTGCTCAAGTTGCTCGAAGCCGTTCTCCCCCAGCTTCTACTACGTTTTCTGTTTCCTCAGCAAGGAACATTGCTTGGGATCACTCCTATGAGCCGGAGGCTCCGAAGAGGAAAATAATGTAAAGCGTTTCGATTCCGTAGAACCGTCCAAAATACAGAGAACAAACTAAGAAGAACAAACAAACGCCGTTGGAAGACACTGAGGATGAAAATCTCACCTTAGTAATATTCAAATTAATTGCAGATATTAAGACGAAAGGATACCGACAGAACTCGCGCCTGGGAAGGGCCATAAAACAACTCACAGCCATCATGCAAGCAGCAGCAACCACCAATAAAAACAGTTATAATAAACTTAGACATTTTATTTATAGGGGAAACCTGGATGTCTCCGGGTTCTTCTATGTCCACTCCAGGATTCAATGCGTGTCATGAAGTGCGTCCGGACGATAAGAGAGGGATTTCCGTCCTGGTCAGGAAAAACTTAAAAACCAGATGCAATATTCCAACTTTTCTTAGAAACATTAAATTACACTACACAGATATCTGCCCACACATCAGGGCCCAATCGCTGTTGGAATGGCAGAGGATATATGAATCGGAAATTAGATATAAAGGCACATCTTACTTCAATTTCAGAAGAGAAGTCAGTAGACGTCCGTGGTAAGAGAAGATGGGCTTCAGGAATAAAGCGGACATTGCCAAGCTTAGTCGTCTTCGGTCCGGACATACTCGGGCTCCGGTGAATTTAGCCAAAATCGGGTGGCAGGATTCGGACAAATGTAGTTGCGGATCAGTGGGGACGCTGGATCACATCGCCTTCGCATGTGAATACAATAGTAAGGCATGCGGGGTTAAAACATCTTTATTTAAATTTGTTAAAGTTTCGAAGGGTGTAGCTTCTGAGGTCTCTCCAAGAAGTATTTTATTTTGATTATTTGTGTTGAAGGAGGAAGTTTTGGTTTTATTGGAAGAAGCTGGTTACTTTAATTATTTGGGCGGAACAAGAAATCCGAAGAATAAGTGTTATTTTGGTTTTTGTGCTTCGAATGAACAGACAGTGGCGTAATGCGGAAGCCAAATGAAGAAGGGGGACGAAGAAGAAGCGTAATAAGAGTGTCAGTGATAAGAAGGATACTGATATATTGGTCAATAATTTTTAACCCTCACAATTAAGTTGTGCCTGGGGCCTCTCAATTGCTTATTTCGTTACTCCCTACGCGGGAAGAAGAAAAGTGGTTACCCAAAAAACATCAACGCAGAATAACAAAATAAACAAAAAATTCGAACAAAGAGACGACGCAAATACTTTCAAAACTCTGACAAATCAATCTCAAAAACACACACTGCTAGTATGTACCCGCGAGGTAGCGACAAGAAATCAACTTTCAATATGTGGTCCAAAAACTCAATAATACAAGCAAAAACTGGACACATTTCAAGTTTTGGTGATAGGAACCTATGCCATATCGTTGTATTTGGTGCTCACAAAAAGACATTGCGGACGCTAAGATAGCCAGAACCTCAGCTCAACTGCAATCGAACACGGATTTTACAAAAGAATTATTCCAAAAGTGTCTTGCCAGCCAACATTCAGAACTTGACTCTTGCCAGAGACTTTTACAAAAACAAACATTTCCCAGCAATTGAATGTACCTTTCCGTCATCGGTTCGTATCTCTTGTGGGGGTGACAGGAATTCACGCACCCTACGCATGCTTGTTCGAATAGTAATAAATGCACCAAGTAGCAGGGGTCGCACCCTACACAACGGTGTATACCACCGATTCCTCCGATGTGTGCGGCGTGCAACTCCGACGATTATGCTGCATGGTCCATAAAATACCCAAAGTGTCCAATGCCGAATAACAAGATCAAACCCCTAAACAAAAAAATCGAGCAAACTTCCAAAAACCTTTGCTGAAAGTAGAATCTACAAGCCATTGATAACATCGTCAACAACGACACAAATAAGGTGAACTCTCCTATGTCACGTTCTGTTCTGGTGAGTTCTGTTTGGTCATGGCATCGTGGCCGACAATAGTGGCGAGGAGGTGGCCACCACGAAGCGCGCCTGAAAGCAGCACTCTCAATCAAATTTGTGTGAAACAAGTTGATAGTTGACTTCATTTTTCATTTTTAAATTTTCTTACAAGCTCTTGCTATTTGAGCCGTTTAGTAGTAGTGTATAAAAATAAACTTTGTTTGTTTATTTTGACTGAGTCAAGCAATCTTATTATAACGATTCAAAAGGACCTACGTGTACGACGACGAAAGATATCGACTCAGACCAAAATGAATGAAGATCTGAATAAATTGGTACGTGCAGCACTTATTGACGATTAACAAAAGCAATGGTAACTATCTATAAGCCAAAAAAATAAAGCGAACACACTAAATAATTAGTGATAACGATGACCGAGAAAATGATTTGGGATACGCACTAGACATAATAACAGCAACGGTGATCGGGGCATGTACGATATCTAAAAAATTAAAGGTACAAGCAATTTTTTCTTTGACAAGTTCCTTCAACGCTTCCACAATTAAAAAAAATTGATTATTATCTTCCTTGCAATATATTTTTTCTTGTTTACATCAAATAAATTTAGCTTATTATATCATTTATTCGTCTTCAGCTTCTTAGCAACTTGAACCTTTTTTTTGTTGAAAATTTCTCTCTGAAGAATATCGTGTTTTCTTCCTCTACTTTCAATCTTCAAGTATATAATAGACTTTAATATAATAATAATAAAACCAACATTTTAGGTTTGTAGTTTTGCTGCGACAAAAATATTTATTACATCACTTTTCTAACTCATTGACAGCAAGGTAACAGCTATCATTTTGCGATCCAATCACTGATTTAGTGTGGAGCGATCAACTGAATGCTGGAGGTCTCAAAAAATATTCTCGCTCATAGAAGGATAGAAAACGAGGCCGACCAAAAAAAGCAGAATCTAAGCAAAAACGAACAAACCTACGAGCAACTGATAAAAAATTTGAGATCAGAATACTTTTAACACACGTTCTTGAAAATTTAAAACTGAATATTCCATTAAAAATATGATCTTGCTTAATTCACGTCTTTAATTGATTAAAGCAGTGTTTGAGAATCTGTGTACCCTTTATATCATTTTCGTAAGACTGAGTCTGAGGCCCTCGTCAAAAAAACAAATACTTTAATAATAATCAAAATATATTTATTTTTTACACTTTTAGTACATAAACTAAATAATAATAAATAAAATTTATTCATAATAAAATATAAAAAATTGGATGACAAATCATCAAGTTCCCTGATTGTTAATTTTTAATGTGAGATGCGGTTCCACATCCAAAAGCTTGTTTCTTTGGGCATTCTTTAAAATTCCAATGAATTTTCTCTCTCAGAAATTCTTTTATTTTTATATTGTGATTATATCTTTTTGATAGAACATAAGGCAAAATATAATATGTTATATTAAATATATCAATGAGTATGAGCACAAGAACTTCTGAATAATATGTTCTAAAATAATTTGCATTATAAGAGTTTCCCTGCTCCATCCCAACGAAAGATAATCCCTCACTTGCGTATATATTCGAATTACAAATAGCACAATTATTTAAAATAATTAATTGTTCTATTGGTTTTAAAATTTCATCATTGATATATCTATTTGGCAATTCTATCGTAATTTTTGAAGGAGTTGGGGTAGATTTAAATCTCGATTAATAGATCCACAATTATCTCTCTCGCAATTTGTGCCTCTAATATTGGAAATTATAACGTTATTTAATAATAACGTTGAAAATCTACTCTTAAATACATGTAGACCTGGTGTTTGGACCTCCTATCTGCCTCACGTGCCCAAAGAAATTTTCGAGAGGATCCCGGTTTAAAAAATTAGTTGACAAATATCTAAAATTCACATACAAATGCTGCAACTATATACACTCAGTCCTCTTTTTATGCGGTTTTGAAGTTATGCGGTTTTTTTTTCAAGAAGCATTTTTTTAAATAACTATTTCAGGCTATTTTGACACGTTTTGACACAAATTGGCAAACCATTTCATCGAAAAAAATAATAATTCTGAACGAGCATTCAAGTTTCAACGCGAGCTTCAGAATTGCATTCCTGGATATCAGGAATTGTACAATAAAATGTCAAAGGGAAAAAATCAACATGCGAAGTTCAGACTAATTTTACTTGTGAAGAATCATTATCTTCAGAACATAGATCTGATATGCTGACTATCTCTTCTAGTGATGAAAGTGAT